CTCTAAACCCTTTATCTCACGACTGGAGTCAGACTGAGTCTGCTGGGGTCCAGACAAAAATAATTTCCCTCTGGGATTATTAAAGTATTTCTGATTCTGATTCTGATTTCTTAGGGGTCTTTATTTTCAGGTTGTATTTATATTCTTATTCTTTGCTTATTTTTACTTAATTTTGCTCTATGTGTGCCTTTTTTTTTTGCCCTGTAAGTCTAAATCTAAGTCTAAGTCTGACAAAGTTACATCCAACTAAAACCACTTCTCTGGTTTCTCTCGCAGCCAAATGAGACGATTTTCCATCCAGATCCACCCAAAACATTTTTATTTATCCTCCAAAAGATGAGATGGTTTAACAGACGTACCGATAAATAACGACTGTTCCTTTGTTTTATTCTGAAAAGCAAAAAAAAACAGAAAAAATTTACCTTAGATGAGATAAATATGGAGGAGACCTGAGTTGTTTCTCGGGTGTTTGTTTCCTGTTTGTTCCACATCTGGCCAACAGCAGTTTTTACCCAGACAGATGTTTTTAAAGATGATTGGACAGAAGTGTCTAAAAACCTGTTCAAACATTTAGATTTCCTCTCATTTAACGCAGGCTGGTCAGAAAAACGTCGCTTTCAGGAGCTCACAGTTCATTTCTTCTTCATTCGTATCCCCTAAATCATTAATTAGGCTTCACTGTGAGGTTTGTGCTCTTTTCCTGATCCAATTGTTGCTTTAACCCTATAATGCCAAATGTGTCATATTTGATACGGTTTCTGAAGTCTTTTGGATCTGAGACTTTCTGCATCATTCAGTGGTAAAAGCTTTGCTCAAACCCCTGTTGTACACATTCAGATATACCTGATAACAGCCAGTAGAAGACTACACCAAAATACATTTTTGACTTATTGCACGCTAATTTGATCAAAATAATTTCTGATTTTTTGCTTCAAATTATGTTGAGACTTCAGACTAAAAAAAATCCAATATTCTTCCTATTTTTCTTGGATCAGGCTTTAAAGGGTTAAACTCTGTCAACAAGGACAAAACTCCCCTTTTAAACTGAAAAAAGACCCCAGAAATCATATCTTAATTCTGCCGTTTACAACAAGGTCAGAACTCCAGAAAAGGTCTGAAAAAGCTACACAAAGAGAAATAATGTTCCTGTTTCATGATTAGACGATTACTTGTTTTTTTTTTATATAACTCTGAAAGGCTGAATTATGAAGTCACAAGACATCCTGCTCAGTCTTTAGTTTACAAAAAGAAAATGAACTGTAAAAGAAAAGATTTGACCTGGACAGCCTGAGAAGTGAAGTAAGTTTATTGAAAATAAATAAATTAAGACAGTCAGTAGTAAAACACTGATGTGAACATTTCAGCTTTTTTTTTTTTGCCTGCTTTGGATTTATTATTTTAACGTTTTAATTCTAAAAAACAATTTAAATTAAAGCTGTGGAAAAAAGCCCCCGGCTGATTCAAAGAGGGAATATTTCCTCTTACACTTCCACCTCTCATGGCTTATTTCTACACAATCATTAAACGATTAAAGACTGGAAGAAAAGGCTCATTTTAAGCTGTTCGAAATAAGTTGAAAGATGTCTTTTAAAAGCTGTCATTTAAGATGCCGTTTGTGACTTCTGAGAGAAGCCCCCCCCCATTTATCTGTGGATGGGACAGATTTCCTATCGATAAGCACGCGGGAGGCCTCTGTAATCTTTGCAGTTCTGCTCATCTCTTTATTTAACTGAAACATCTAACAGGGTTACATTACCCAGAACCAGCACAGGAAGTTAAAATGAGTTAAAGGAGTCCAGGTTTAAAAACCAAACCAGCCAAACCAGACCAGGAGCCCAAAAAACTCTCAAATAATTCACATTTAATCTGCGAAATTATGGTTAAAAACCAAACAAACCAGCCAAACCAGACCAGGAGCCCA